ATGTACACGAACATACATTCCAGGCCTAACACAAAATAATCAATTAAAAGACATATTTATAAAATAAACCAATCAGAAACTTAGATGGCTCATGCTCAAGCAACAATATCAATGTGATAAAAATAAAATATTAAAGTTTGCGGCAGCCAATTTCATTTTTATCCCCAAAGTTTTAATGCTTGGTACTTTCTTGCACGGGCCTTAAAATTTAAAAAAACATGTTGAAACCAGAAACTATAAATGATATTTGTATATGCATGTCCATATGTGTTTGTTTACAGCTGCATGTATGTATCTTAATATACTACAAAATTAAACCGAATCTGGATGTAGAGCACTTCATTCAATAGATGTCTTGCCAAAAATAAAAATAAAACTTTGCATTACCGAATTCATTAAATTAAATGGGGAAAAGACACTTCACATATAAAAATACAGAACATACATGATCACATCCCCTTCATCTGAGTCTACGCGTTCGTGAACCCTACATAATTGTCATAAAATATCAGCACTGCAAACTAAAAATATCAAAATCTCAAATATTTTGGCATTGAAATAAGTAAATTTATCAACAAAAATTTACCATTTAATGCATTCAATCCTTCCAGTTCCATCATCAATTATAAAACTAAACTCAGTCAGCTTATTGTCTTTGTTGCACACTCTTCCCACGAGCACAACCTGTTTAAATATCAAATTGAAAAAAAATCAAGATAGTAGCACACGAACAGGTGAAATGATGATCAATAAAACAGCAAACACAAGAACCAACGGCATAAACGAGTGCAAAGTCAGTGACAAAAGAACATACAGTGTTCAAATCAACACCATCAATGGAGAAATTGGATTCACCACTAGATGCGCTACTCAATTGTTTAACCGTCAGAGGAATCAAGGTTCGAACATCACGTTTCTGCAAACATCAAACAAAACCTTGTGTCTGGATGAGGAACGACAAAGAAAATATCCCGCGCACCAGAGCTTAATATTCTGTCCACCTCAATTCAGAAGTTCAATTCCTCTTATAATCTGAAGTGTAACAAAATAATATATATACACAAACACACACGCACACGCTATGTTTTTCTCACTCGCCTCCGTGTTCATTGGAACCCAAACAATCGCCAAAAGAGAACGAAATACTACGCTGGTGAAGATGCGTAGATCTCTAAATTGACAGTAAAACATCAAGAAAAAGACTCAGCCAAGTTTGATCACCAAAACAAGTCGTTATTTGAAACAAATGATTACTTCAATATTTTCCATCTCTTCCATGTATTTCCTCCTGCTTTCCCGCGAACCAAACAGAAACCATAATGTTCATTCCTGTAATAAAAATATATACACACAGAGATATATGCAAGAGAAATTTACTTTAGAGGGAGAGTAAGACGAGTCGTGGGTCTGAGTAGCCTGAGAGGGCATAAACCCGCCGCCCGGAGAACGCTGCACTGCCATCGAAATCGCCGGATACATCATTTCTCAACCTCCGAATGTTCACTCTCGAACAAAACCACACACTGTAATCTACACGTCGA